ATAATAAAATAATATAAGAGAAGCAGAGATGACTACAATTTGTTAATTTGCTAATATTAAATTATTCTAGATTTTAAAATAGAATAACTTGTTCGCTTTTCTTTTTGTTCCATGATTTTATTTCCTTTTTCTTTTGCAATTCAAATTGTTTTATAGTTCTCGTTTTTAAACTATGTATTTTTTTTTATGATATGAAAAAACGAATGAATTCTTTCAGACTATTTAAATATGCTAACTAGCTATTTGGATACGATTTTGTAATATCTGAAAAACCATATTAAAACCATGAAATGAAGAAAAGAAAGACGTTGAAACCTGATGCGCTCGAATTACAAGTTCCAATCCAAGCTGATCACAAAATGATTTTAGCGCATCCTTGCCAAATACGCTTGCTGCACCACGTGGACTTTCTTCATAACCTGCTACAGCCGGATCAGGATCAGCCCATGTTAAATCAGCAAGCAATCCCATATCCGGAATATCACATGGTCGTTGAATTTTTGCAATCTGAAGATCTTTTATTTCCACAAGCTAAATTTTGTTTTTTCTTCTTAAAAAAAAAAAAAAAAAGGAATGAACAAAAAATTTTTTTGCAAACTATTCTTTTTTAAATTATAGAAAAAAAGAAGAATATGTAACAGTGTGAAATTATTACAATCAAATCAATTATTTTGAAAATTTTCCCAGCAAAATAAGCATTTTATAAGGGTGGAAAAGGATAATAGGATTGCGCACGTTACACAAACATTTAAGAAATTTCACAGGAAAAAAAAAACAATCAAAAAATTGAGTACAATATTTTCGTATCAATTAAAAATAAAAACAAACAAATGAAATTGTCATTTGAAATAGACCTGAGAAAAGTTGACCAAACTTTCACTGATACCACCATGCATGCACATTATTATTTTTGATATACGAGCGCAAAATGGCATGCAATAAAATGCAAATTGAAAACATTCATAAAGTACCACCGAATAACTAAAATATAATCATATATGTTAGTATTTTTTTTTTACAAACCATAAACCTTTATCAGTCATAAAATAAGATAATTTAAAGCATTGATAGGATTATATTTAAATTAATGTAAGGAGAAAATTAAATTTGAATGGAGAATTAATGTGTTGAATAGAATAATATGGACAAAATTAAATTTAAATATTTGTTAAGTGAAGAAATAATCAAATAATGCTGTTAGTTATTTATTTTTTAATTTTA